ATCAGGAGGAAGGAGGAAGGGTTGGAGGAAGAAGACCATGAGGGTCCCTGGTGCTCTCTGACCTTGGTGGTTTTCTTGCAGATGTTTCATGACCCAACTAGGGATCATCACCAGTGTTAGGAAGGAAGGGGTTTGTGGAGCGAGGAGGAATGTGAGGCCCTTGGTGCTCTCAGCCTGTTGACTTTCTAGCAAGACGTTTCATTACCCAGAGAGGGAACATCCTCAGTGCTAAAGGGAGTATAAGGGCCAATAAGCCAGAAGCTCAGAGAGCACCAAGGACCCACAAAACACACCCCGTGCTGCTGTGTCCTCTGGGACCAGTGCCACAGAACAGGAAAACAAAATGCCATGTTGTATCTGTAAGCCAGAAGCCCCCCCCCGCCCCCCCTTCTCCCAAAACCTCCCATTAGAGGTGTTCAACCCGCACTTGAGTGGGACATGGGCTCTGGCTGGATGGCCTCAAGGCACCCTTCAGTGAATGTCAATTCGGCCCACTGCACACACACCCCCAGCTTGCTTGCCATGGGGCCCAGGCAGAAAACACAGCCCACCCTCTTCCCGGCCAAGACCCCCAAAGGCTCTTCTGGAGGGGTGCTCTGCCTGCAGCTTCACCTGTACGTTGCACCTGGCGGCGCAGGTCGGTGGTCCTCAACCCCCTTTTGAACACCTTTAGTAGCCAGGGGCCCCCAAGGCTGGAATCGAGGTTCAAAGCGGGGGGAGCTGCAGCCCACAAGTCTTCAAGTGGCCGAGTTTGGGGGCCCCCCGCTTCAAAGCATCGCGTTCCTTCAAGCCTTGGTGGGCCCCCGGGGGCCAGTGACCCCCAGGTTGAGAGCCCCTGGGGTCTTCTCCCTGCTTGGCCCCATCAGGTAAGGGATGGTCCTTGACTCCCTACCACGACGGAGCCCAAAAGTTTGGCTGCCAAGGGACCCCCAACTTCCGAAGGAAAGCCCGTCCGCGGTTGAATTAGCTCAGTTAGTGCTAGGTCGCATTTCTCTTCGTTCAGCTCCCATTTCGTCCTTTCCCCGCGTCTTTTGGAGAATAAATCGACTCTCTCTCATCTTGGGGCGGCCCTTCAAATATCGGAAGATGCCGTCGTGGTCACCCCTGGCACTTCCCGGTCCCTGCAATTGTTGGGGCCTCCTGGGCCCTTCAATTCCCCCCCCACCCCCCCGTGGCCCTTCCCAGAGTCTCAGCCGCTGTTTTGGCGTCGCCCGTAAAAGGATAAAGCCAGCCCCTCCGTCCTTCCACCTCCCGTCAAATAAAGAGCGGCCCTTTTGGCTCGGATGAATATATTTATACTTTTCTTAACCTACTTGAGCAAAACCAAGAGGAGGAGGAGGAGAGAGAGAGAGAAAAAAAATTAAAACGACAGCCCAGCGAGGTAAAACAGGGGAGGGGGGGTACAGACCGAGGCGGGTGCTAGGACCCCAAAGGCTTCACTTCCGTGGTTGTGTTGCTTTTTCCTCCACACACACACACACACACACCCCTTAAAAAGCTCCCATTCACCCGCGCTCCTTCCCCCCCTCTAAAACATCCAAAGATCAGGAGGGGGGGGGGGGGGGGGGGGAAGGAAGCACCCCGGCCCGGCCAGGGGGGGGGGGGGGGGGGGTGACGACAGCTCCCCCTTAGCATGCGTGTGCCCCTCCCTCCCCTCCCCTCCTGCCCAAAGTCCACATTCCGGAGCCGCAACCACAAAGGCAAACGCCCTCGGCCTCCTGGCCCAGACCAACCGGGCTCCGCCTGGCCCAGCTGGGGAGAAGAGGAAGAGGAGGAGGAGGAGGAGGAAGGCGCCAGGGGATGGGTCTCGCCAGCCCTTGGCTGTCCACGCGTTAAGTGTCCAGGTGACAGACCCAGTGTCTCTTCTGGTGCGCACGAGGCCCGCCACAGCCGCGGTGTTGAGCCGGTGGAGGGGAGGAGAGAAATCGAAACGTGGAGGAATCACCCCGGCCCGGGCGAGACCCCACGGGCATCAGGGGATCCCAAACTGCACCACCAGTTCTTCTTTCGCGTCCACGCGGATCTGGGAGAGGGCACTGTAGGCGTAGGCAGCTATCCGGGAGACCTGGAGGAAGGGGGGCACAGGTGAGAGGTGAGGGGTGCAGGAGAAGCCCATCCCACCCATCCACCCAGCTCTGGAGGAGAGACTTCTGCCAGGAGGTTGGCACTCCTGTGTGTGTGTGGGGGGGGGGGTCTCTGGTGCTCTTGGCTGCTTTCTTACAGACGTTTCATGACCCAACTAGGGAACGGCGTCAGTCCGGAAGGGCGTGGGGGTTGCTCTCTGCCTGTCACCGTCACCCCAATCGGGGAATTACCAGCTCAGATAGCTGAACTACGGTAAACAGCTGCCTAAGAGCCCCCGTGGCCCAGGGGTTGGAGGGCAGCATTGCCGGCTGACTCTGCCCAGAGTCACCGTTCGATTCTCACCGGGCTCCAGGTTGACCCGTCCTCCCGAGGTGGGTGAAAGGAGGGGCCGGGTGGTTGTGGGGGCCACCGGGCTGACTCTGTCAATGGCTCAGAGGGGGCTGGGAAGGCCCTGGGAAGCGGCCTGTCCGTCTAAGCGCTAATCACGGCGCGAAGAACGGTGCCGTTAAGGCAGGCTGGGTGATTTGGGGCCCATCCCCAGGAGGCGGTGAGTTCTAGTCCTGCCTTGGAGAGTCCAGCTGGGTGACCTTGGGCCAATCATCAAGGGATGGAGAATTCTAACCCCAAGGCCTAATAAAAGTCAGGTGGGAGCCACCTGGACCAATCCCCCCCCCCCCCCCCCCCCCCAGCCCAGCCCACCTCACAGGCTGAGAAAATCACGGGGAGAAAGGAACGTTGTGTATGTTCACCACCTTCGGTTACTTTTAAAATAAAAGCGGATTGATTAAAAAAAAAAGAACTTCTGCACATATAATATATAAAAGGCCGGTGATGTTGGCTCTAAAGGATGGAGCCAGCCGGAAGGCCCAAGAGTCCAGGGGAGCAGAGGGGGGGTTAGGGGGCCTGGCCAGGCCAGCTGGGGCACGGGGGGGGGGGCTGTTCACTGCCCCGGCTTCGGAGAGAGGAAAGCCAGAGGGAGACCCCCCCACCTGCGAGCCACCTACCTGTTGCAGGTCTGCGAAGGGCACGGGGTCGCTGGCGAGGACCTGGTGAGGCTGGTTGGTCAGCGAGGGCAGCAGTGGGAGCTTCTTCCAGTGCGTCAGGCTGCTGCTCAGCACGGCCAGCCGGGTGCTGGGGGGGGGGGGGGGGGGGGGGAGAGGGGGGGGGGGGGGGTGGGGGGGGCCGGAGGGGGGGGGGACCGGGGAGGGCAGCCCCAGAGGGCCCCCAGGAGGCCCACGAGCCTCCACTCGCCACCTGGGGCAACTGAACCGCTCCAGGCGGGCTGGTCTGCAGCCCCTTCCACAACAGGGCCGGCACCCGTTTCATCTTAACGACGGCCAGAAATTTCACTCCCCAGGACTGAACGTGCCGGGCAGCCGGTTTAAGCACAAGGTGGCCCTCGAGTTACGTCCGCCACCGAGCCCCGAATCTAAGTTGCTGAGCGAAACATTTGTTGAGTGCGTTTGTCCCAGGTGACGCCCCTTCTTTGCCACGGATGTTAAGTCAACCACCGCAGGTTAGTCCGTCCCACGGTGGTGAAGGGAACCTGGCTGCACCGCACCCCGGATTTTGCCGGTCGTAAAGAAGGTCACAAGAGGGGATCACGTCATCACGGCAACAGTCGTAAGGCCATGCCAGTTGCCAAACATCCCAATTTTGATCAGGTGACCGCAGGGGAGGCTGCAATGTGTGTGTGTGTGTGTGTGTGTGTGTGTGTGTGTGTGTGTGTGTGTGTGAAAAAGGGTTCCCAGTTCATTTTTCAGTCCAATCTCTTCCTGAAAGTCTCAAGTGATGAACCTTCCACAACTTCCAAGGGCAACTTCTGTTCCGTTGGTTGATTCTTCTGTCAGAAAATTTCTCCTTACTTCCAGGTTGAATCTCTCCTTGATCAGTTTCCATCCATTGTTCCTTGTCTGGCCTTCGGGGGCTTTAGAAAACAGCTTGACCCCCTTCCTCCTCCTCTCTGGGGCAGCCCCCCAAATATTGGAAGATGCTCTCCTGCCTCCCCTGGTCCTTCTCTTCCCTAGACCAGCCAGGCCCAGTTCCTGCAACCGTCCATCGTATGTTTTAGCCTCCAGTCCCCTAAAATCATCCTGGTTGCTCTTCTCTGTACTCTGTCTCAACATCTTTTTTGTAGTGTGGTGACCAAAACTGGATAAAGTACTCCAGGTGTGGCCTTACCAAGCCTTTATAGTGTGGTATTTGTACCTCCCTTGGTCTCGATTATATCCCTCTGTTCACGCAGCTTAGGACTGCATTGGCTTTTTTGACATGTGACGACGGGAAGGCGATGGTGGTCATAAGGGTGAGGACCGGTCCTAAGTTCCTTTTTCAGCACCGTTGTAGGATGCACCCGGGTAGTGGCAAGCCGAGGGCTACTCACAACTGTAATCTCACGGCAAGGCTGCCTGAGAGAGCTTAAGCAGCCCCCCCCCTTCTTCTCCCCCTCCCAGGGCCAATCTCCCCATCACCCCCACCCCACCCCCACCGCCCAGGGCCGGCGTACCTGTACTGCCGTGCCCGGTCCATGTATTCGTGCTGCTCCATCTGCTGCTGATCTGCGGCTGAAACATCGATGATGTTGCTGCAAGAAGGCAGAAGCCCCCCGAGGGTTAGAGAAAGCTACGCTCCCCCTGCCTCACTCAGGACTGCACACACGCAGACTACCCTGCAGCTGGGCCGGGTGGGGGGGTTCTGGGGCAGCCGGCCCGTGGCCCCAAGCCAAATACCCACAGCCAGGAGCAGGGCCAACGCTCGGGGTTGGGTAACGGCTACCTGGGGAAGGTGGGCCGAGAGTCCCAAGGCTTTCACAAGACCCCCAAGGCCTTGTTGGCCCACTCAGGAGCCTCCAGAGCTGGCTCTGCCGACTGGCCTGGCCTGGGGGATGTTCCATGGTGGGTAGAGAGTGGACTAGGAAGAAGATCCCACTCCCACCCTGGACTATTCTGGCTTTTAACTGAATTTCTCTTTATTTAACCTCTGATGCAGGGGTCTCCAAACTTAGCCACTTTAAGACCGGTGGACGTCAACTCCCAGAATTCTCCACCAGTCTTAAAAGTGGCCAAGTTTGGGGACCCCTGCTCTCACGCCTCCACTTCTGTCCCTATGAGATCTGCAAGCCTGTCCCAGAGTCGCTTCGCAGTACGATGGGAGTCCGGACCGATTTAATAAACGAAAACAACAAAAAGAAAGGATGAAGAAAAACCCAGCATTCTGAGTATTCTTTTGCCACTGACAAAAATCCCCTGCCGGTCAGTTGCAAGAGGCAGCTTGTCACCCCCGTCATGACAGCTGTAACGCCATCCAGCCTCCACACCTGCCTCTCCCAGGTCCTTGGGAAGGGCTCTTTGATGCCAAAAAAATGCCAAACCCAGCCTGGTCACCTGGCTGACTTTGCAGTGCTTGATAACAGAAAGGATGAAAGAGAAAGGACGTGTGTACCCACAGGTACCCCTGGAAATGAACCCCGTTCACCTGGGTCCCCCCAGAAGAGGCAGCCTCCCCCCCACCCACCCCCACACCCCCCAGGCCCAAGACTTACATGGCTGTCTTAGCCAGGATGGAGGAAAGCAGAGCCTGCTCGTCTGTCCGGGCTGACGGCAGAGTGCAGCACGATTCCATTCCATTCATGGACTTGTTGGGTGGGCTGGAGGCTGGGGGCAGCAGGGGCTTGGACTCCTCCCCCTGCAAGTGAGGGAACAAGGGGGAGGGGGAGGGTCAGTCTGGGGAGGAGCAGCGAGTGGAGCCCCGCAGGAGGTCCCTAATCCCTCCTGGACCACTGGGCAGACAAAAAGGCAGGAGAGAACATTATTTGCAGCTCCAGGTTGAAATCTGGGCTCCCTGGTGCTCTCGGATGTTTCCCTGCAGACGTTTCATGACCCAGCTAGGGAACCTCATCAGGGCTAGGAGGGAGAGGGGTTTGCAGAGAGGAGGAAGGGAAGATGGAGAGGGGCTGTGGAGCTCTCGGAGCTTGGCTGCTTTCCCTGCAGACGTTTCATGACCCAACTGGGGAACCGCATCAGGGCTAGGAGGGAGGAAGGTCTCCAAGGGAGGAAGAGGAGGACTGAGGGGTCCTGGGTGTTCTCGGATGAGCTTGGTTCTCTTCTTGCAGACGTTTCATGACCCAACTAGGGAACGTCATCATAATCAATGCTAGAAAGGAGGAAGGGGAGAGACAAGAGAGGAGGGGGGGGAGGAGGAAGACTGAGGGGTCCCTGAGGCTCTCGGAGCTGCGTGGTTTTATGGCAGATGTTTCACGACCAGGGAACGTCCTCAGGTCTACAAGGGAGGAAGAGGAGGAAGACTGGGGTCCTGGGTGCTCTCTGAGCTTGGCTGCTTTCCCTGCAGACGTTTCATGACCCAACTGGGGAACCGCATCAGGGCTGGAAGGGAGTGGGGAATTTGCTCCCTGCTTATCTCTTAGGGCAAGGTTCTTCAAACTTGGCAGCTTTAAGACTTGTGGACTTCCAACTCCCAGAATTCCTGAGCTAACATGACTGGAGGAGGAATTCTGGGAGTTGAAGTCCACAAGTCTTAAAGCTGTCAAGTTTGAAGACTTGTGGACTTCAACTCCCAGAATTCCTGAGCTAACATGACTGGAGGAGGAATTCTGGGAGCTGAAGTCCACAAGTCTTAAAACTATCAGGTTTGGAGACCCCTGGTCTATCTCATCTATCTATTGATCTATCACTATCTTCTATCCATTATCTATCTATCTATCTATCTATCTATCTATCTATCTATCTATCTATCTATCTATCTATCTATCATCTGTCTATCTGTCTGTCTGTCTGAAGGGTCTTCAAACTTGGCAGCTTTAAGTCTTGTGGACTCCAACTCCCAGAATTCCTGAGCTAACATGACTGGAGGAGGAGGAGGAGGAGGAGGAGGAGGAGGAATTCTGGGAGTTGAAGTCCACCAGCCTTAAAGCTGCCAAGTCTGATGACCCCTGTATTAGCGGCTGTGGAACTGCCAATTTAAACAAATCATAAACAGCCTAAGGAAAAACCCGCCACGACCACTTCCACCCACACGACAGGCCAAGCCACCCGTAGATAAACAGAGAGCAACACCCACCCCCCTTTCTAAGCACTGATGAGATCACCTAGTTGGGTCATGAAACGTCTTCAGGGGAAAACACCCGGCTCGGAGAGCACCAAGGACCTCACAGGCCTTTCCCTCTTCCTCCTCCTCCTCCTCTCCACAAGCCCCACTTCCCTCCTAGCACTGATGACATTACCTAGTTGGGTCATGAAACGCCTGCAGGAAACCCACCCAGCTCAGGGGGCGCCAAGGACAGCCCAGAGACAGGCGTCATCATCCTGCCTGCCTTCCTCCTTCTGCCCCCTTCCCTTTTAGGGGGAGGGAACCCGCTTTCCCACAGCCTGCTGCAGTTCACGTGGCCCCCAAGGAGCCCCTTGGCTGCCACCCCCCTCCTAGCCCAGGCCTGCTCTTTCGGTTATTCGCCCATGGGACACTTTGCCATCCCTGGAACGCTCCAGTATTTCCACCCCCAGAGGAGGCAGCTCCTCTCCAGAGCGTTGGTCCTCTTGGCTCTGGGACTTTCCTCAGCCTTTCGCTCACCACCAACAGGTTCTCCTCGGCTTACGACTGTGAGTTTTCCCCCCCCCCATCTGACGACCTTTCCTGCCACCGTTAAGTGAATCGCTGCAGTTGGTAACACACACTCCGGCTTCCCCCATCGACTCTGCTCCTCAGCACACTGTGACGGTCGTAAACGTGGGTCAGTTGCTGAATGTCTGAACTTTGATCACGTGACCTTCTTTATCCTACTAGGCGACCACGCAGAATCTGGGTCACATTTTGGGGTCTTCTGACAAGCCCAGTCCATGGGGAATCCAGGCTCACTTAATAACCATGTTACAAGCTTGACACCTGCCAGTATTCACTTCACAATGGTGGCAAGAGAGGTTTGAAATGGCAAAAAAACCACCATTTATTTATTTTTTAAAAAATGTATTGGCTGCCCATCTTTTACCAGAGGGTAACTCTGGGCAGCTTCACAGCGGCCTCACTTAGCAAATTTTGGAAATGTTGGGCTCCCTCGTGTCAAGGACCGCCTGTGTCCCAAGAAAAGTTGCTGCCCTGGGACTTGCTTCTGATGGGAGGTGCAGGGCAGGAGGAACCCCAAATGCAGGAGACTGACTGGGTGACTTTCAACCATTCTCCTCCTCATCCTAGAAGGGAAGCAATGACAAAGCCACCCCCCAAAACTGGCTGCCCAGACGCCTGGATGGATTCCTCCAGGCAAAATCCCCCATTGGCTCCAATGGAAGGCAGCAGTGTTTGAAGTGGTGACTAAAGGCCCCAGGTTGGGAACCGGAAAAGTGGCCTTTCTGGCCCTCCCATGGGTGGGGAAGCCGGCTGGGTGGCTTTGAGGCGGCCCTTCCCCTCCCTCCCTAGCCAGGAGGAGGAGGAGGAAAAAGAGGGGGAGAAAGAGAAGAAGGAGGAAGAAGAGGAGGAGGAGAAAGAGGAAGAGAGGGCAAAACAAAGGACTCCGAAACCTTGCCAAGAAAACTGCAGGCACAACAAATAAATAGAAGAAAATGTTTGTAGCTCAGGGGCTGAACTGTGGGGTCCTTGGTGCTCTCTGGTGTATTTCTCTCAGAGTTTGTGACCCAATTAGGGAAACTCATCAGTGCCACTAGTAGAAAAGAGCGGAGTTTGAGGAGAGGAGGTGTAGGAGGGCAACAGTGGGGTCCTTGGTGCTGTCTGGTTTTCTGGCAAGACTTTTTCTGACCCAACTAGGTAACATCATCAGAGGTAATATAAAACATCCAGATAAGCAGGGATTGACGTCAGACAAACATTTAAACAGAAAGCAACATCCCAGTCAAGGAACTAGCATGGAGAAAAACTGCACTCCTACCAACGCTGGCAGAGCAAACAGTTTATATATAAACAAGAGAGCCAACCCTCCCTTTCTTTCCAGCACTGATGCTGTTCCCTAGTTGGGTCACAAAATGTCTGCAAGAAAACAGCACAACTCAGGGAGCATCGAGGACCCCACAGTCCTCCTTTTCCTTCTCCTCTTTGCCTTTCCTTCTCTTTCTCTTTCCTTCCTCCTCCTCCACTTTGCAAATCCTCCTCTGCCTTCTAGCCCTGATGCTGTTCCCAAGTTGGGTTGTGAAAGGCCCGCAAGGAAACCGCCCAGCTCAGGGAGCCCCAAGGACCCCCACAAAAGAATCCAGGCCTCCCTTTGCCCCAGAATCTCCTTCCTGCCCCCCGCCCCACAGGGACCCCAGGAGGGGAGATTCCCCACAGCCTCCCCACCTCCACAGAGACCCTTTCCAGATTCCCCAGGGGCCCCCAGACCCAGAGAAACACCCCCCGCCCCGAATAAGAGCAGGGGAAGCGGGGAGAGGGAGGAGACCGGCCGGCCTGGCTTTGTGCTGCGGGGGCCGGAGGGAGTTTGTTGGGGGGGGGAGGGTCTTCTCTTCGCCCCCTCCCCTGGAGGCACCGCCGGCCTCGACCCCGCCTCCCTCCGAGACGCCCCCCAGCCAGACTCCCCTCGGCACGCGAGGGAGGCGGGGACCCCCACTAGGCCGCGAAGCCCCCAGACCCGCCGGAGGGGACCCGGCCTCCTCCTCCTCCTCCTCCTCCCCTCCCTGGGCGGGGCCGAGACCTGGTCGGAGGCTTCATTCTCGCTGCTGTAGCAGCAGCCCATGGCGGCGGCGGCGGAGGGGGGGGAGGCCCGAGCGGGGAGGGGGCGTCCGCGGCTCTCTCGCTGCTGCTGCTGCTGCTGCTGCTGCTCCGGCCGAGGGGACGGGAGACCCTGGCGAGCGCCCCCCTCAGCTGGCGCCTCGCCTCCTTCCGGCTTCCGGTCACGCGCACGGGGACTTCCGGGGACTGGGGTGGGGCGGCGGCACGAGACGGAGGGGGGGCGGGGCTCTCGCGGAGTCACGTGACCCTCGCACGGGCCTCGCCGCGGCTGGGTTCCTTTCGCTCCCCCCCCCGGCGCCCGATACGGCGCATGCGCCAGTTTCAAATTCTCTAGCGCTGTACCTATATCTACATCTGTATGACATTACAGATTACAAAAAGAGCTGGAAGGGACCCTGTAGGTCATCTAGCCCAACCCCCTGCCCAAGCAGGACACGACACCCTACACCATATCTGACAGATGGCATATCTATCTATCTATCTATCTATCATCTATCTATCTATCTCTTTATATATATCCATCTATTGTCATCTCTCTCTAAATATCTTATTTTCTCTCTCTCTCTCGCTCTGTATGTATGTATATATATATATATATATATATATATATATATATAATAAAATCTAATATATCTATCCATCTATACATAAATATGTGTGTGTGTGTGCACATGTGACTCACTTCACAACTGTGGCAAGAAATGTCATAAAATAGGGCAAAATTCCCTGAAGAAATGTCTTGCTTAGTAAATAAATATATCTGCTGCTAAGCCAGACATTCAGGGACTTTTGTCCTATTTTACGGCATTTCTTGCTACACTCATAAAGTGAGTCACTTTCTTTTGTTAAGTTAGTAGCTCAGTTGTAAAGTGACACTGGCTTCTCCATGGACTCTGCTTTTCAGAAGGTTACAAAAGGTGACCTCAGTACGCGGCAACCTTCATAAATAGGAGTCACTTGCCAAGCATCTTGTGACCATCGGGGTGTGTGTGTGCTGTAATGGTCATAAGTGTGATTAAAAAGGTAGGAATCTGATGGGGAAAGAGACGAGCGTGCTAAAAAAGCCAATGCAATCCTAAATTGCATTAACAGAGGGACACAATCGAGATCAAGGGAGGGACTAATCCCACTCTGTGTAAAGCCTTAGTAAGGCCACACCTAGAGTCCTGCATCCAGTTTGGGTCACCACACTATAAAAAAATGTTGAGACTCTAGAAAGAGTGCAGAGAAGAGCAAACAAGATGATGAGGGGACTAGAGACTAAAACATCAAATGAATGGTTGCAGGAACTGGGTCTGGCTGGTCTAGGGAAGAGAAGGACCAGGGGAGACAGGAGAGCATCTTCCAATGTTTAAGGGGCTGCCCCAGAGAGGAGGAGGGGGTCAAGTTTTTCTCCAAAGCACCCGAAGGCCAGACAAGGAATAATGGATCAAAATTGAACAAGGAGAGATTCAACCTGGAAATAAGGAGAAACTTTCTGATAGGGAGAGCAGTCAATCAATGGAACAGGAGTTGCCTTCGGAAGTTGTGGGAGTGCCATCACTTGAGACTTTCAAGAAGAGATTGGACTGCCAATCTGTCAGAAATAGTGTAGGGTCTCTTGCTTAGGGGGTTGGGGGGGTTGGGCTAGATGACCTACAAGGTCCCTTCCAACTCTGATTATCTGTTAAATCTGCATGCTGCCTTCTCCCTGGCTACTCCTGGGAAAGGAAAGTTGGTTGTGGGTCCTTGCAAGCATTAATGCCCCTTCCCAGCATGCACCGGATCTTGGTTTCAAATGTCAACACCAACCAAGTGACCCCAGTGAGAATCTCTGCATCCCTTCTGACTGGCTTCCTTAAAGGCTGAGCGTCTCCTCTCTCCTCTCCCTGTTCCGCCTCTCTCTTCCCCACCCACAGCCACCTTCTCTTGCCTATACAGAGAGTCCTCAACTTATGACCACAACTGAGTCCAAAATTTCCAAGTAAGACAGTTGTTAAGTGAGTTTTGCCTGTTTTCTTGCCACGGTTGTTCTTGCAGTTGTTAAGTCAGTCACAGTCGTTAAGCAAATCTGGCTTCCTCCCTTGGCTTTGCTTGTCAGAAGCTGGCAGGGAAGGTTACAAATTGCGATCAGATGATCCTGGGACAGTGCAACCCTCACAAATGCAGCTAGTCCTTGACCAGATCCGAACCCAACATTCCCATTGTTAAGCAAGACAGTTGTTAAGTGAGTTTGGCCTTGTTTTTACCACCTTCTTTTATTCTATTCTATATTTTATTCTAATTCTATTCTAATTCTATTCTAGTCTATTCTATTCTAATTCTATTCTATATTCCTATATTCTATTCTATTTTCTATTCTATTCTATTCTATTCTATTCTATATTCCTATATTCTATTCTATTTTCTATTCTATTCTATTCTATTCTATTCTATTCTATTCTATTCTATTCTATTCTATTCTATTCTATTCTACTCTATATTCTTCTATTCGATTCTATTTTCTATTCTAATTCTATTCTATTCTATTCTACTCTACTCTACTCTACTCTATATTCTTCTATTCTATTCGATTCTATTTTCTATTCTAATTCTATTCTATTCTACTCTATTGTATATTCTTCTATCCTATTCTATTTTCTATTCTAATTCTAATTCTAATTCTAATCTATTTTCTATTCTAATTCTATTCTATTTCTAATTGTATTCTGTATGTTTAGAACTACTTACTTGGATAAAAGTTTTTAAAAAAACTGAGAATTCGGAGGGAGAAACACGCATCTGGAACTAACCAAATATACCTGGAGCTGCATAGCCTTGGAGCAGCCGATCTAGAAGTTGTGAATCACATCCCAAACGCTCTGCCATGCTTTAGAATAAACGCAAAACAAGGCAGCGAGGCCATTTGGGCCAGCCTTGGTGGTCCCAACCTTGGGGAGACGGCCTTCCCCGTTTGGAAAGGGCCGGCAGCCTCAGAGGGGGCCGGGCTTCCTGGGGAAATTCACTCAACCATCACAGCTGCAGCCTGGCAGGAGGGAGGCTGGCTGAGGCGCCATCAGGGACATGGATCTGATCAGCCCGTCTGGCCCCCACCGGCCTCCTGGCCTTAATTCAATTTCCTTCCCTCTCAGCTATGCAGGGAAATTGGATCCGACCCTGTGCGCCTCTCCATTGGGATCATTCGCTCCTGGGACTCTGGCCAGGTTTCCTAAGCAGACCTTGGGTGCCAGTCTTCCATCGCTCAGGGCACCGAACAGCTCAGAATCACCGAGAGTGGGAAGGGACCTTGGAGGTCTTCGAGTCCAGGGGTCGCCAACCTTTTGGACCTCAGGGACCACCAAACTCATCATTGTAAATCCCAGGGACCATTAATCGGTTCTGTGGGCGTGGCCTAATTTGTGGGTGTGGCTTGGTGGTCATGTGACTGGCTGGGCATGGCTTGTATATAAATATTATAAATATTTATATAAATATGGATTTTTTTTTTATTAAAAAAAGAGCAACTTTCACCCAAAATCAGGCAAAGCAGGCAGGCAGATTGAGTTGCTCACAGAATCATTCAGTGATCTATCTATCTGCCATCGGCTACCTGAGTCTGTCACATAAAATTTGCTTGCCGTGAGTCTGCACTGAATAACGGAACCTTCAGTCCTAAGGGAGGTTCGGCTGTGCTTAAAAGCAGAGCCGAAGATCTAAAGACTAGCTAGAAAGCAAGAAACCCAACCATTTCCTGCTTCCTAGCTAATCTAAATCTCCTGGCACAGCAGAACAGATGATAGCTGGAAAAAGGAAAAATAGCAATTTTGCAGGCAAGTTTGCTGGGTATGGAGTGAGTGGGCGGGGAGGGTTCCCGCGGGCCATGTGGGCGGCGCAGTCTTGTGTTTCTGCGCGGCCTGGATTAATTGCTTTGGGGGGGGTGCTCTGGGGGTGAGATATCTCTGCGGACCACCAAAATTTTCTCGCGGCCCACCGGTTGGTGACCGCTGTCCTAGTCCAACCCTCTGCTCAGACAGGAAGCCCTGTACCCATGTTGGCGAACCTATGGCATGCATGCCGGAAGTGACACAGAGCCATTTCCCTCAGCATGCGAGAGGTCATCCAGAAGAGCCCCACTGCGCATGCATGTGAGTGCCACTGCCAGTCATCTGATTGTCGGGTATCTGGCATGCATGTGCATGTGCAGGAAGTGGGGGGATGTGTGGGAGACGCATGTGCGTGCACAGAGACACATGGTGCGTGGGTGGGAAGAAAAGGTACATTCGTTAAGAATCAAGAATCATAACGTACAACACTTAATGATCGTCAGAGGGTACAATCAACAATCAAATCATACTAGGAAACAGTCAATACAAATTGTGAGGATGCAAGTGACAAAGTTACAGTCCTACAATCACAAGTGGGAGGGGATGGGTGATAAGGAGTGATGAGAAGATTAATAGTGATAGTAATGCAGACTTTGTAAATAGTTGAACATTAGCAGACTGATGGTTTTCGGGGGGAAAACTCTCCTTGTGTCTAGTTGTTCTGGTGTGCAGTGCTTTATAGCGTCATTTTGAGGGAAGGAGTTGAAACAGTTTATGTCCAGGATGTGAGGGGTCTGTAGATATTTTCACAGCCCCCATTTGGACTCGTGCAGGATACAGGTCCTCCATGGAAGGGAGGTCGGCAGCCATTGTTTTTTCTGCAGTCCTAATTCCTCTATGGAGTCTGTGTCTGTCCTGTTGGGTTGCAGAACCAAACCAGACAGTGATAGAAGTGCAGATGACAGACTCCATCCTTCCTCTGTAGAACTGGATCAGCAGCTCCTTGGGCAGTTTGAGCTTCCTGAGTTGGCGCAGAAAGAACCTTCTTTGTTGTGCTTTTTTGATGATGTTTTTGATGTTAGGTGTCCATTTTAGGTCATATGATATAGTAAGTATATAGTATAGTATAGTATAGCAACCCCTTAGATCTTGGAAGACTGCTAACATGTCACCCCAGTTCTAACTTGTGTGTTGAGTATCAAACAAACAATGAGTACCCGGACAAAATTTTCGCGTCACAATGCATTGAGTAGCAAATTCGATGAGTTCCAAAGCAGTTGAGTACCAAGGTACCACTGCATTTCTACCACTAAACTACTTGTAGAAGATGATTTTGGAACATATACAATACGTGGAAACAACTGTTGGAAGAATTATCCTTCTGGGTTCAGT